ATTTGAATTTCATGACAGGATATTATCGCGTCAATTACGACGAGCGGAATTGGACGACAATTTCCGAGTTCCTGCAAGGCAAGGATTACACAGAAGTGCATGTAATTAATCGAGTGCAATTGATTGATGATGCTGTAACCCTCGCGAACACTGGAGATTGAGATGGGATGTTGCTCTTAATGTTTTCCAGTACCTTAAAGAGGAAGTTGATTACTTTCCATGGGTCCATGTATTGCCATTTTTAGAAAAACTACGAAAATTGTTGGCAATCACCGATTTAGAAGAAAGTTTCCAGGTATCTCTACACTGTTGAAATTTTTCATCTGAAACTTCCAGTTCACTTCTTCGAAATTCTTCATCGAGTGACAATTCTACTGAAACTCAAAAGAATTTCGGAATTGAAAATTCATAAATTCACGCAAACATGAGTAATTGACCAATGAAGATAGTCCGTCTTACGCAACTGTGCCCTAGATAAAAGATATTGTATATTAACATGGTTATCTTGTCTCAGACATACACTCAAAAATTAATAGAAAACGTGCTGAAGAACGTAACACTTAATGAATCGCCCAGGGATACTGAGTTTAGGAAGCATTTCCAACTTGAGATCGTGGAGCTAGCATGCAATATATAGGATTAAAAATATGCTGAGATGAATCATTGGAGAATCTTAGGAATTCGTTCACAGATCCCGAAAAGCATATGTAATTCTTCTCTTCTATTGTTATCCAAGAATTTGTTTATTTTCAAATTCATCGAGTACCCTCATATTTGATTAATTTTGTTTCCATAGGATTCCGGTACATATGAAACCGGTTCTCATGTGTGTCGGTGCTCGCAATGCTGACGATGCACCATTGGAAAGACTTCTTGAGAAGTTCTTCGGTATCGGAGATAACCAAATTATGATGGCAATTGTATATACCTCTGATAGTAATACCTTGAGGTGGTATTTATTTACCATGCTCGGAGTTGCGGGAAGCTCTGATATAGAGATGGCAATTTTTACTACTGATCTCGCAAAAGTTATCGATGTTGTTCTCTCAGGAAGTGACGAGGCTGTCGAAGGAGCTTTCAATTTCATTATTGACAAACAGATCAAATTTACGAAGTATAAGAGATTAGCTATTGTTGGCCTATTTGGAACGGAAAAAAAGGGGCAGTTTTGCATAACGAAGTGTTAGATATTGGCCTCTGCACTCATAAGCCGACTTGAAGGATTATGATGATGAAAAGGGTACAAATGAAAAGAAACTTCACCGATAGACTCCATTTATTGTCCAATATTTCCATTCTCTTTGCAGGGTCATCTTCAGGGGTGTATTTATTCTGCAAACTATAAGATGGAAACAAAAAATCCGTTCCGAAGAATAAACTGTAAAATAATCAATAAAAACGCCAGATACAATTCTTCTTGATATTGCGCTAAGATAATGAACCAAAAAGTAACGATGAAAATGATCTAGATGCAATTATCTGGACTTATAGTTTAAACAATATAATCGTCCCTGATAATGACCTGTGAAGGACTATCGGAATACTGGGCAAAAAAAATGACTCCATCGCTGAGGTTTCTCTCGTCTCTCAAATCCTTTTCTTCATCATAATCCTTCAAGTTTGCTAATGACACGTTTGATAAAATTCAATAGGAAAATGTGGGGTTCGGTGAAAGATAAAAGGGTTTTGTAAGGTATAACACTTGGAATTCGTGTACTATATCGAATAAGATTTATTCACAGCAATGTAACTTTGGTTTACACCATGAGAGCTGGAACGAGAGTGAGCTCCCGCAACAACGGTATTAGGTCATCCCATCGAGGATGTCGGAATTATTACGAATCGTCGCGAGGATGTCTTGCGACAAGGACAACGATATATCGGCGATACGTGTCACGGTACCAAATTCGGTTGCTAAGCCGAACTCGAAAACAATACATTGAAATGGTGTGAAATAAATATAAAAGTAGCTTCGCTACAAAAAACTTAGCGAAATCGCTGGCAAATTCTATTGGAATTCTATAGAAATTCTATTGGGATTCTATCAAAATGCTAGGGAATTCCGTTAAAATTCTATTGTTTTTACGTCGATTCTACGAGATATTTGATAGGAAAAATTAATAGATTTCGGTTTTTTTTTTCATATGAATATTCTTTTGGAATTTTTTCTATAACAATACTTGGGCATGAATCGTCCAATTTTTTTTCCCTCGGATCCTGTAATGCAAAACTAAACAAAATATAGCGGACAAAATGTAGAAAATCGGCGCCTAATAACTTTAATAGAAAAAATTTGAAGAGGAAAACTAAAGCAAAAAAAATAGAAATCTGTTGAGTTTTTCCTATCGAATATCTAAAGAAATCTGCACAAAAAGCAAATGGAATTTAACGAATATTCCCTAGAATTTTAATAGAATTCCCTTGGTATTTCTCGAAAACTCAAATAGAATTTTCTAGCGAATTCGCTAAAGTTTTCTATTGAATTTTTGAATATATGGACTACAGAGAGGCCAATACCCAACATTTCATGCAAACATCAGTCAGAACCTATCATTGAATTTTGCATAACATTTGCTGTTTTTCAGCTTTGGAAATTCGAGCAATATAGACACGCTATCTCCGCCATCGGCCGCAGAATAACCACCAAAGCACAATTGGCAAAGGTTAATAGACATTTTCTTCATCATAAAAAAGTGAAAATTGAACATTATCGCTAGCTGCTTTTTCTTCAAAGTTGCAGTTGAAAAAGTACCCAATGAATTCATAAAGAGCGTCGGCGCTAAGGGGATCAAGTTAGTGCAGGAAAATCATCAGCGTCAACCATCAGCGTCAGCGCTGAGGGAATTAAGTTAGCGTAAGAAAATCTCGATTACGCCGAGACGATTTCCTGCTGTTTTTCGGCGGTAAACGATACCGTGGTATATGAATAAAAAACGCAATCAAAGTCCGATGTACTATTATCTATCCTTCTACTTGTTAATTAAACAGATGATGGTTGACAAAGTGGTCCCTTTTCTCTAAATTGGGTTTCCCAACACAATCGGATTTGAATGGCTACAATGAACGTATCTACGATGAGGTATACAATTAAAACAGAAAATAGCTTCAGTTCAAAATTGTTTTATTATCACTTTTATATGGAACAATATAGCTTTACACGTATGAATAAATGCTATAGGATTTCCTATAGGAAAAAAAAAAATTCTAAGAGAATTAGAATTCAGAGAGAAAAAATTTCCGCTTCACCCAGCCGGGAATCGAACCCGGGTCTCCCAGATACGCGCCGGGCACTCTTACCGACTAAGCTACCAGGAACCACAGAAATTCACTCTCAAATTCGCCTCATACACCTGTAGGAAAATCCTATAGGAAATCCTATAGAATATCCTAGAATATAATACTTGATAGGAAATCCTATAGAATATCCTATAGGAAATCCTATGGAGAATTCAAACATTTTCTTTAGGATTTATCTAATAGGATTTCCTATAGGATTCCCTATAGAATTTCCTATCAGATTTATGACCCTCATCCTGACCTTTGTGACCGATTGATTTCGAGCCTCAATTTTGTGTGTTACTTTCTATAGAAAACCCCATAGTAAATTCTATAGAAAATCCTATAGGAAATCCCATTAGAAAAATTCTATAGGAAATGTTCGAATTCGCCATAGGATTTCCTATAGGAAATTCTATAGGATTTTTTCATACGTATACTGATTATAGAAACTAGTGTCTTATCATTGTTTGTTTCATAGGAATTTTCGATATTGAAAGAAGTATCAATGAAAATCGTGGCAGGTGGAGTCGATGACTTGATATATCGGACTCTCATATATCGATATTCTATAAATCGATACCAAAATATCGTTCAAATTAATTGTTTTTGGTGAGGTATGAACTTGCGAAAATCATATCTCACGAGTGTCATACCTCGCACGATCCATGCCTTGTGAGGGTCATACGTTGCAAGGGAGGGGATGTGAAGCGGGATTAAATGAATCATCTAAGAAAACAAATGTTCTTCAACAATTTTTGTCTTTCGAAAAGGATATCACCACCCAAAGTCCCACTCTGCATCGTCGTCATGAAAATAATAAGTTCATTTCGGTGCTGAAATGAACCACCCTCTTTTTTTATTGTTTCTTCATTTTTTGAAACAGACATAAGGCTCAACTTGAAAATTGAGTAAAACGATCACAAATTTCAGACGAAAGAGTCAAGCGGAAACGGTTGAATGATTCAGGTGGAGAAAACCAGTAAGATTTTTCCATTATTCACTTTTTACATATATCAATAAAATATTTCTTCATAAGTTATTGAAATATGCTAGACGGTTTTTATTCACTCCAGGGAGTAGAGGGTCAGTTGCTCGAGGTAATCAATAAGTTTCAGTCCTAAATCTCAATTTGTTGACTATGTTCCCTATACCCTAAGAATTTTTGTGAGAGAACATCATATAGCGCGAGTGTTGACGGGTTAAACTCTTGAACACTGTAGATGGTCACCGTAGTGCAGTTGAACGTGAAGTGAAACCCGACCGGCAACGTTCCCTCGGCTCCTAACTATTACAAGCACGCCCCTATGGGTGGCAGCACCTATCACTGCGGCTTCGACAAAACGATTCTAACAAGAAACTATTCATGCCGTGTAATAGTAAAATTTGAAAAGTCTTGCAATCGGTTTCTGAGATAATTGCGTTAGAATGCTTGTCCATACGGAGAGTCAGAAGAATTATTGTGGCATATTATATAATATAATAAGTGCTGCAGTCTTATCAGCCCATTTTAATTTCATACAAATAATTGTGTTTCTATTCGTGATATTGATTGATAATACCAGTTTAAAAAATTGCCAAAAATCGTTTCTGTTGTTCTCACATTCTGTAATCGTGCTTTCTAGATATTTTTCGGCATAATTGCTTTTGAATAATTGCAACTGATACGAACCTAAGACCTCGTCAAGAAGATGATCAGAAGTATTGCCCCACAATCTCATTACTTTCTATCATTTTTAATTTTTGAAACTCCGAACTTTATGAAAAGATATCTATTTGGATGTGGAAGGGAGTACGATCTTCGGATTGATGGAGGAGAAACTATGAATGATGTGATTAGGCGGTCAGAATTTTCTTGACCTCAACGATGAGAATAAGGAGGGAGGGCGTGGAGTAACTCAGTTTACTAATTTAGGGGTGACGCTTGTCTCAGGTAGAAAGGTGCGTAGAGGAATGGGATACAGTGTTCGTCTGGAAGAGATTAAGTCATAAATGCGTGAAATTTTTGCTTTCCTTTGAAAACTCTTGTCTCAAATTCGAGGGAAAACACGTGGATCGCGATGAAACGTATTAAATTGTAAAATGTCTGAAGATATTTCCTTTATATACAATATTTTATAACGGTCAGAGCGACTTTGTAAGGAAAGAGAATTTTCATGGTTTGAACATTACGGTCAGAAGATTTACTTCAAGTTTTTGTTCCAAGAGAAATAAATTGTGTTTTTAAAAAGATCAAATGCAGCTGGCGAACTTAATAGTTGGGGAATTGGCCCTGGAGTATTGAATTGCTAGCCGTTTGAATAGTCTGGTAAAAATCCGGATTAAATTTTTTAATAAATGAGACATTCGACGTAGAGAAAATTCCGAAATAAAACTTTTCGGTATGAAACAATCACTGAAACATGAAAACACTCATAATAGGAGATAATGGATTCAGATAAATTCATTGCTCTCTCATAAATCCTATCCAAAATTTTCAAGGTCCTCTCACCATTCATTCATCCATGATTCTACATTCCTCATTGAAAACTTAATGATCATATTGGACTCAGGAAAAACAATTTCAATGAAGAAAGTGAAAAACTGCGTGAAGTCATCGTCATCTCAAATTCGAGAAGACAAGAATGAAATGTTATCGACTGTCTAACGATAAGAATACACCGGGATCGTGTGATCCCTCCCCCCAGCGGATGAATATGAAATTCTCCTTATCATTAATGTACACAAGTTGGGGGTTCATTTAGTTTGCGCATGAAACTTATTGCCCCCCATCCTTGAAAGCCCTGACGTTGTTTGGATTTGGATCACTTTCGAGTTTCTCACGATGATACTATGACAACACGATGATTGGAAAAGTGTACAGTGACTTCCAGGAATTAGCTAACTTTATAACCGCTTGGATAATAGGTATCTCTCTCCGAAGCTTTCTCGGTTATAGACAAATTCTTTTCCAAGTGTAACCTCCGCATATAACCAATAAATATATAGTAAAGAAATGTAAAAATTAAATGTATGAAGGTTACCAATAGTGTAAATAACCCGGATATGGGTTCTATACTTTAAACTAATAAAAAAAAATAGGTATCTCAATGTTTTATGGAGTCACACGGATCGGAGGCTATTATTAGTTATTTACACATGAATATTAGCTACAGTTGTTCTAATATTCCATTTTAATGAATGGAAGAAAATCAAGCCAAATTCATTTCGAAGAATTTTGAATTCATTTATTTCTAAATGTTTTTTTTTGTTTCCGAATGGAAGAGTTGGAATGGTTCAAATTCAAGTTTCGGATTTTTTATGGTATATAAATCTATGATGATCCAAAAAGTCGGAATACGCCATCTTTAGATGGAAAACTTTTTCTTCAATTGCTCTATAATAAATTGATGGAATTGATTTTTTTTCAAGCATAGGTATTGTGCCTTATCCATCGATATTCATTCAAATTTTATCTATGTATTATATTTTTCAAGTTTTTGAAAAATTGGTTGTCTCACCATAACTCAAAAAAATGTTCGGAATTCATTAAATGATGGCTTGAAAACATTCTTTGGATATCTCTTCGACCAAATTCAAAGATAAAGACGATAACTGTAATCGTTGTTTTGGTTTGTAGAATAATTTTCAAAAATTTTGTATTTTATAAAAATTTCAATTCCAAGGATATCTTTGGATATCATGCTCTAAATTGATTCAATGCTAGCTGAAAATATGAGTTCAATGCCACTCTGTCAAAGTGAAAAGATCGTTACGATACCTATATTCGTTGGTTTCATTTTGATGATGATTTTTGTAAATCTAGAATTTTTCGAAAATTGCTCTGAAAGTGAACTTTTTGATGGTTACTTCAAAAATGATGTTTTGGAAAATTTGGGAAATTGTTCTCATAGCTTTCAAAGGTTTATTGATTTTCCATTTTTTAAAAATCTCCTTCCACTGATTATTTAAATTACAAAAAAGAACATTCAAATTTTATTCAATTATGATTAAAACGATCTACTTCCACTTCACTTTCATAGAAAAAGCGGATGGTATAGATAGATATTATTTCATATTCGTAATTTCATCAAATATTAAACTAAATAAAAAATATAACACAATTGATTAAAAAAGAAATTTCATTGAATTAAAAAAAATTATATATATATCGATCATTTATATACTCTAGAAGTATGCGATGTGCAAAATGACCATTTATTGGCAAAAAACTACTATATTGATATAAATTGAATTTTCCACTTGTTAAACATTGTTATTATGATGAGAAGCAATTTTCCGTAAATTTTTATTTCAGGATAATGTGTGTGTGTAAATAACGATCTTTCTCTATCGCAAGAGATGAAAAGAAAAATTTATTTTAAAAAAATGTCGATTTTATTTTCAGAATTTTGTTTTGTATTGTGAAATACTCACTTCAGTCTTTCAGAATACTCCAATAAATTCGGGGAAAGAATTCCACTGAACCCCACAACTGTCTCAAAATATCACAGAAACTTGTAAGAAAATTAATAAACACTCTAATTACAACAGAAAGAAAACCAATTTTTCACCACTTGTTGCGCGGCTTCCACGCGCGCTGTATTGCTGAATGTACGAAGTTTGTAGTGCCGAATGAGTTTTACGCGGAGAAGTCCGCTTCATCGTCGTCACACGCTTGGTTAGTCTTTCACGACTCTTTCCAGTAAGTAGTCTGTGGTTGGTTTGAGGCATTTATAGCCTTCAACTGCCCCACGAGCTCTTCTCCCCTCCTGTGATACTGAGGGACTCACACGAGTGAGTGATGCTGTGGGGTAATTCCCCGGGTCATTTTTTCTGTATCAATGGAATGTAAGATTCATTGGAGAATAGAGAATCCACTCTCGAAAACCCCACGCACGAAAGAGTTTAATGGAAAAACCTAGCGAATTCGTTAGCAAAATCTATTGGATTTCTATTGAACTTTCTATTAGTTTCTGCCGATTCTAGTAAAATGTTCAATAGAAAATATTGAATAGAAAAAGTCAATAGAATTCGATTTTTCCATATAACTTACGCTCTTCAGATATTTTCTATAGAATGTCCTCGACATTCTAATTTTCTAATTTTCTTTCATTCTATTTTCCTTTTCTTCCCATCAAGAAAATCAAACAAAAACTTGGAAAGTTGGAACCGGGAAAATTCTATAGAAAATACCTCAGTAAAATAAGTTGTATCGAAAAAACAAATTTTTTTCTTTAGTGCAAACGTAATTTTATATTCAATCAAATTGGTTCAATTTATTGATTAGTAACACAATGATTAAATGAAATAATTCCGAAAAAATATATTAAAATCTACATAAATAGCTTTTTCATGTTGTTATGTTAATGACGCAGTGCGGTGACTGCGAAGTGAGATAATTTTTATTATGGAAAATAACACTCTTCCCCTTTGTAATGAGTCTACACCAACAAGGAGGTTAATTGATGAATTAATGGCGAAGTTATGAACACAAAAAAGTCAATTGTCCAGTTTGCCCGACGAATCTCCATGAACTCCATGGAGAAGCGAATAAAATTCAGTTCACGAATAAGTGATATTTATCAAAGTTAGATGGGATACAATGGGACAAATTGCAATTTTTGTGCTCGACTTTAATTTTTGATGTCTTGCTCGATAATCATAATCGATGGCTCCTAAAGCAAATTACCTAACTCAGAAAACATTTTCAAACTCAAGTATCTCAAGAAGAATATTGACAGAACTTTGTATCTCAGAGGAGATGACAGTAACCAAGTATCTCAGAAAAATTTCAAAAATATATAACTCAGTAACTTCAATTAAATACACGGAGAGAAATTTCCTAAAAAAATTCTAGTGCGAGTACTGGAAAAAATCACAATCCACCGGCTGTGAAAAATTCTAATGTTATTAAGGTAAAATTTCTTGGTATTTCTGGTAAAATTTCTGGGGATTTCTGTGAAATTTTCAAAGAAATACGGGGAAAAATTCACGTACCGGCACTGGAGTTTTTCCTGGCCATCACTTTGCGCCTCTTTTCCCGTGCCAGCACTAGAATTTTTCTAAAAAATTTCTCAACGTGTACCGTCTAATTTGCTCGATGCCTTTATCATTTTCATTATTATTCCTCGGATAGAGTTCCTACGAATATTTTCGTACGCGGACCTACTTGTACGGGTTCACATTTTCGCCGCTCGACAGAAGCTCCTTGGGAGAGATAGGGCTCGCAACCCATTTACATGGGTTTCTATCCCGTTCGGTAGATAGAGTATTCAAGTGCTAGACTTCCCAATACTTCTTGTTTGGGGAATATTTCATACCGGTGGTCAGTTGTTAGAAAACCAAACCCGTATGGCTTTGTAAATATTTAATCAATTTAGTAATTGGTAACTTGTTCTCATCTCATTTCTTTTAACATTAATTTTTCATTTAGTTGGGTAATGAAGGGGTGGGTGAATCATTTTGAAACTACTCGTTCATTTTACCTAATTGGTTTTTTGCTACTGTATTATTTAATATCTACGAGAATTTTTCCAATTATCGATATTAGCTTTTCGGCATTAGCGATCTGTATGAACAGAAAAAAACTATTGGGAAAGAAAACCAAAAGTATTGAGATATTGCAACCCTTGGGGCCTTTAGGGTCATGAGGGCCATAAGGGTCTCAAACGCCACCTAGGTTACAAGAGACAAGAGGATCAAAATCCCTTATTTCATATTGTTATTTGACATTGTTATGAGTTTTATAGTTATGAAAAATAATAGTCAATAACAATAATAATAATAGTTATAATAGTTGATAATAGTTTTTAACTAATGAGAGAAAAAATGGTGTTAAAAAAATTCAATAATTATAATTGTTGTATGGATTTGAGAATTGAAATTCCAAAACGACAACATGTAAATTTCAAGTATGTTATTGTTAAAAATTTCGAAACTGCAACAAATATCGGCATGATTTCTCCGCTGAATCTGTTAGTTGTTCTCTGTTAGCGTGCAAAAAGGCTTTCCTCTCCTGAATTTCCCAGTGACGTATATTCCAAGAATTTTAGAGTAGCATTGGCCACTTCGATCAGTCAACAATCAAACACTTCCTCAGTCGAATCATTATTCTTCTGACTGAAATCGGTTATAACTCGGTCTAATGATATACTGTAATTCTCATGATGGAACAGAAGCAAATAAGATTCAATGATCAAACACGATATTTCATATTCTTGAGAGGAGAGTCAACTGAAAAATTTGTATGGAAATTCACTGCGAAAGATTTGCATGGAAATTGATCGTTCCTCTACGTAGGTAACTCCGCACACCTTTCGATTGTAGACTAGAATCAATAATATTTCATTGCTTCTTGTCTAATTGGTTAGTTGCGTGGAGGTGTGCTAGGATAAATAAAAGCCAAACAAGAGATTCATCCGGTGTATTGCAGCTTCAACTATTATCAAGATTCAGGAAGATAAAAATTCTCGCGTAATTTTATTGACGGATTTGAGGAAGTCATTATTAAAGAAAACCATTGGATAAAGGAAAAACAGTCAAGTCAAAATAAAGCTTTGGAATTATTACTTGAAGCGTACAAACACATCTTAATTAAAACCTTCATCTATTATCGTAGTTCACGTATAGAAAACATTCATAGAACAACCGAGCACATTCGCTAGACAATTCTATTGGATTTCTATTAGTTTTTAGCCGATTCTACAGAAAATAAGAATAAAATAAATAAAATAAAGGAAATAAATAAAATAAATAAAATAAAATAAATATTGTATAGAATTTTCTTGGCTCAAATTCTTCAATGTTTTTTGTCTGATTTGCCTGAGGAAAAGAAAAAGAAACAAGTGGGAAATTGCTTTTATATTAATATAGCATATTTTTGTTGCTCCTAATAAATTAGTAATATGCTTTCGCATAGTCATTTTGCACATCGTCTGCTTCGATACTATATAATTCATCGTTACATTTAATTTTATTAAATTCAATGGAATTTCTTCTTTAATCAATTGTGTTATATTTTTAATATAGTTCAATATTTTATGAAATTTTAAATATGTGTGACGTTTTGAGTTTTACCCGGAAGTAAAACTCAATGCCAGTTCTTTTCACTATTTTTATTCTTTGATATTTGGTTTGGTTGTCACTTCGACCTCGACTAGCTTCGGCGGTGAGCTCACGGGGGATTCGCTCACTCGGTTCGATGTCTCCGAAGGATATGGGAAGGGTTGGAACTCGGAATAATAATACTCGCGTATTAGTCGGTAAAAGTATGATGTATTAACTATGGATTACCACCAATAAACTACACGATGGAATAGATGGGTTGGTATCACGCGGTTCTAAGGGGACTCGCCTTGGGACTTTGACTCTTGTGTGGCTTAAGGCCGGAGCTTAGAGATCCGCTCTGTTTAGCTCCTGATTGTACTCTGCTCTCTGGTGAGTCCAGAAAACTCGTCAAAGCTCGTCAAGGGCCCAAGTTGCTTAGCTAAGCAGTCTCACGGTTTTCTGTACTAATATTGTCTTGTGCCATCATTGACACAGACTAACACAGTCAAACAGTTCAGGACACCTGAACCGGACTTGCACAAACCGTGGGACTGCTTACCATGATGTCCACATGACACCATGGGATTGCTGACCAATGTCTGGGTGCCAGGAAAGAGAAATCACATTTCTCGTTCCCACCATCCAGCATTGTATTATTATTTAATATAATTATTAACTAAATCGACGTATTGATCGATCCCAATACGTCACATATGCAATAATATGAATTTGTACCATCGAGATTGGCGGTAGCGTATCGGCTAAGGAAAAGTTTTGACTCTGACTGTAAAAAACTGGCCGAATGCTGCCGTGTGTCTGCACACGAAGCAACTGCCCCCTCCACTACCTCCGAGTCAAATCCATTAAATAAAACGCAAACATGACAAGCTAGGTGAAAAATACTCTTAGTTACATTATATGAATCGGCCACAAGCTTCGCATTGATGTAACTATTTTTTGTTCGAATCACTATTTAAAAAATTGCGCGCATAGCAACGGGTTTATATGCAGATTCTCGCATTTCACATTATCTGCTAGCATTTTTTTTGGTATGAAGTTGGTAGCAGTGCAATACAACCACACGCACCAAGGAGGGAGCCCGGGAACATTCAAACAAATTGAATTTGGTGCATGAATGATAAATTCTACAGATATTTTGTAATTGTGTTCCGTACGTAAATAAATTTTCGAAAGTTATGGGATTGCATTTCAATAGAACGTCCTATTTCGTTAGCGAAAAAAAATGAAAAGTAGTTTTCATTCCATTTGGGAAAACAGAAATAAAAGGTCAGGAGAATAACCATGTGGCTGTTTTGAAAAAAACTTGCAAAATCTCCTTAAAACACAAAAACAAATGTTTTTGCAAAAAAAACTGTGCCAAGAAAAAGTTTTGTTTGATTCTTACTGAGCAGTAGAAATTTTTGAAAAATACAAAGAAATGAAAAAAGCCAAGTCAGAAATGTCAAATGAATGGCCATAGGGCACAATCAGATATCTATGAGAACAATATTCCTAAATCGAAGGAGGATTGGAAAAAAATCTCTACGAAATAAAAAATCAGTAGAAGCAGGACCAACGTCTTTGGCGCGTAGTTTTTCAACTCACTATTACAGTATCTCACAGTATCTATTTAATTCTCTATGTTCTGATC